AGTCCAGTTGTTAAGGCCTCAACCATAAGACTTGTGTTCACCCTTGTTGTCACCAACTCTTGGTCTATTCAACAGATTGATATCAATAATGCCTTTCTCAATGGAGATCTTACTGAAACTGTTTTCATGGCTCAACCTTAGGGCTTCATTGACAAGGCACATCCTAATGCTGTTTGTAAGCTTCAAAAGTCTTTGTATGGCCTCAAGCAGGCTCCAAGAGCTTGGTTTACCAAGATTAAGCAATTCTTACTTTCTTTGGGGTTCCAATCTTCTGTCTCTGATTCTTCTTTGTTCTTCAAAAGAACTAATGGTGAGATGCTTCTTATTCTCATCTATGTAGATGATATATTAATATGCTTTAGATCTTTTGGTCAAAACTAGCATGGTTCACTGCAAACCTGTGTCCACTCCTATGTCTCCTTCTCACAAGCTCCATCTTGCAGACAGTGATGCTTTTTCTGATCCCTCTTTCTATAGAAGTGTTATTGGTGCACTGTAATATCTCACCATGACTCGGCCTGATATCTCCTTTGCTGTAAACAAACTGAGTCAATTCTTACATGCTCCCACTCAACTTCATTGGATGGCTTGCAAACATCTTTTGAGATATATCAAAGGCACTCTTTCAGTGGGTCTTCTTTTTCAGCCTGTCCACAAATTCTCACTTGAAGCTTTCTCTGATGCAGATTGGGCCAGGTGTGTTGATGACAAGAGGTCTACAGGTGGACATTTTATTTTTCTTGGTCCTAATCTTCTTAGCTGGAGTTCTAAAAAGCAACAAGTGGTCTCTAGAAGCAGTGCTAAGTCTGAATACAAGAGTCTTGCCAATGCTTCCTCTGATCTTCTATGGATGAGGTCCTTATTTCATGAGCTTGGCTTATTTATTGAATCACCTTCTCTTTTATGGTGTGATAATGATAGTGCTGCAGCATTGGCTTCAAATCCAGTTTTACATGCTAGAACCAAACACATTGAGATTGATGTGCATTTTATTAAGAAAAAAGTAGCAAAGGACATTGAAGTTCGGTATATTCCCTCTCATTCTCAAGTTGCTGACTTGCTTACTAAGCCATTATCTCCTGGCCATTTTCATCTGCTTTGCTCTCGACTTCCTCTGCGTGCTAAGAATTCTCTCCACCCGGCTTAGTTTCACGGGGGTGTATTGTGATATATTGGTGATGTATTAGATTTAGTTTATTCATTTTAAAAATTAGCTTAGTTAGTAAGCAAGTGAATTAGTTAGGTTGTTATGCTTGTGCATGTGGCACGCACGTGTTGCGAATGTGCTGTGCATGTGTGATGTGTTTTGTATAAAACTCCCAGCTCATCATCATAATCAATATGGCAAATTATATCTCAATTATCTTCAACAATTTAAAAAAGCACATCCAAAAAAAATGACATTTGATAATATAGGAAAAATGTGTATCAAAATGTTATTTTTTTCTACAAATTATAACATATTGATTTGCCTAATGACTGGTATAACACACCAATCTGGCTATTAATTATAGGGCCTAACATAAATTTTGAGATTAAATTATGATAAAATTTATTTCTTCTATTATATTTCTCTATTTACTAAAATTAGAAGTTCCTATAAATGATTGCATACTACGTGTAAAAAATATTTAGCCTAACATAAAAAATTGTCGTCGTTAGAAGAGTAAGAAATAACGTGAATGCCGTTGTAAAATTGACAACTCTCGTCATATCGCACTATATATATTCAAAATATCACATTCTCAAAGGCTACATTATTTATTGTTGGTTCCTTACTGGTTTGGTGCATGCCATTAATTTTCTCCATGCTCGTGAGTTCCATGCTAGATATTTTTTTTTTTCCTTTTTAATATTATTAATAATAAAATAAATTAATTTTCCATTCAGAGTAGATTAATAGGGTTTTTCATCCTGATGGAGCCCATGCACAAATTCGAAATAAATAGTTGCAAAGGCTTTACGGCCCACTTGTAAGCAATTTTCAGATCAGCCCAGTTATCTGAACAAGAAAAAACAATATCATAACCCAAAAATATATAAAAGTTAGCCCAAAATTATTTGGACGAGAAAAATCCCCCTATCCCGGTATCCTCTATAAATTAATTCAACACGTGCTGAGCCTAAGTGGAAGGCTCGCATGCTTCGGAATCCGACAAAATTACATGCTTCGTTCTTAGGATTGAGTAGGTTTTAATTTATTTCCAATCCAAAAATAATTAGGTTCAGATTATCCATAAATATGTTGATTATGGTCATATTACATGTATTAATTGAATTTTAATATCATTTCTTATTATAACTATTGAATTGTAAATATATTTTAAAAGTTAATAATTTTTGTATTTTTTATCAGTTTTACATATATAATATAATAAATTAATCATCTCTTGATGAGCTTTGATTTTACATCCATCTTGTATATATAAAAAATAAATTATATTTATATTTATAACAATAATAAAATTGTTTTTTAATATTAATTAAAAAATAAAATTATTTATCAATTAATATATATATATATATATATACATATATATATATGTATATATATTATAAGTAATTATATGATATCAGTTATAAAAACTACTATAATATAACATATGTAAGTCGCACAAGTAACAAGTATCATTCTGAAATATATAATAATATATATTTTTTGTAAAAAAGTACATAAAATTTAAAATAATTGTTCTTATTAATTTTAAAATTTAAGAATATTTTTTTAACAACTACCCGTGTAATACATGGGTGTTGTACTAGTTGCACGCATATACCAAACAAAATTGTTTGACCAAAATTATTTTTTAACAATACTTATTACACTATATAACAAACAAAATTCTACGTAACTGAATATTGACCAAAATTATTTGAACTTTGGTGTTTTGTAACTTGTGTCATCAAGTGGTGGCTTTGTAATTGTTTATTATTATTAGTAGTAGTTATCAATTTTTTTAGTTGTGTCTCAATTTGAAATAAAATGAAAATTGTACCTTGTATTATCAAAATTTAAAACACATGATTAAATTGTATATTAAGTAAATAATATGATATGTTTTACAAATAAGCCTTATGTAAAAGGAACCAACACATGCAGAATTTGCTAAGTCCGTCCATATAAACTAGTGCGTGGCCCGTGCGATGTACGGACCAACAACATTACGATTGTATTATAAATTAAATATATAAGAAACATTAATCATGATTTACCTATTATTTTTAAATTAAACCGGGTTGGACACTGTCCGACCGGATGGAGCGGGAACCGGTTTATAACCAGTCTAGTTCGCTTGAATAAAATATTTGCTATCGAATCCTTCAACACCGATCGGTTGGACTGGTAGGATCGATACGATTTTCTAAATTAATTTTGCTACATTTAAAATTATTTTAAATAAAATTACATATTTAAATAAACTAGAGATTTATAAATTTTTCATCAATTAGTTTAAACATTTGAATTTATAAATTGTTTAGATATTTAAGTATATAAAATATTAAAATGTTTATAAATTAAAATCTAAACAAACCACAAATGATATAATAAAATAACTTTGATTGTTTTGATGAGGGTCCGATTCTAAAAACCTTATATTTACTGTATATTAATTAAATAATAATAAAATATTATTTTATTTCCATAAATATTAATAAAATGATATATAAGTATCTATAAATTATTAAACATGTTGTCATAAAAGGATGACATGATTTTCCAATTATGATCTCTGATTCTTTGTCCCAAAGAACAATAGTAGCATTTGCAATAGAGTTCGAGATGAGCAAATTCATCTTGCATCTATTAAAAAAAATAGCATGAAAAATTCATCAATTATGACAAAGAGAATGAAGTAAATCAAATTCTTCTTTAGAAAGACTCCTCATAAAAAAAGATATTCTATCTATTTCCAAGATAATAGTAAACAGTTATTTGAAATTTGAAATCAAAATTTGGAGATATCTGAATTTTTGGAATACTTCAAAAGAGTCCGAACTATGTGAAATTATGAAGTTGATTTGATATTGAATTCACGATCTGTCGGAATTTGAAAAAAAAATCCTTAATTTTAGGTTGTTCAATTATATAAATATATGTGATTTGATTTTTTTCAATTCACATTGTAGATGAGCCACATTTTACATCTATTATATGCGATTATTTATTATTCGATTTTATGGCAATCGAGTGGCAAGGAATTTAGAATTTTAAATTATCAATTAAATATTGCATTCGATTTTCTTTGCAATTAGTTTTTTTAAATAAAAAAGGAGAAAACATAAAATTTATGCCTGATTTTATAATATGACCCATTTTTAATATTTAATTATATAAAGTAAGATATGATATATAATCTAAAGTAGATTATGTTTTGATCTAAAAACTCATATATTATGCGTGCCTGTAAATTGGATACACAATAACCGATTTTTTGAGAAGTGAATTAAAACATGAAATAAAAAATAGTTAAAAAAATAACCGAGATAAGGCCAACCGATTTTTTGGGAAATGAATTAAAACATAAAATAAAAAATAGCTGAAAACTGTATGTAATTAATATGTGTTGACTTTTTCTTCTTACTATTTATGGTAAATAGTAAATCTTTTTATATAGATAGATATAGATACAAGATATTGTTAAAAGGTGGATACATCTAAGATCGAATATAATCCGACAAAAAATCATCTTGTGCAGTATTGTCAACATTTTACTAATTAAAGTATAGAGTATTCAATTATTAAAAAAAAACAAAAATAAGGGAAATTACATAACTTGAATTTATTATCTCGAATAGGAGCCAACAATTTTATTTTTTGATAATAGCTACCAAGGGTTGGCAAAGACTAATTGACTTTTTGTCAATATAATTAAAAGTTAGATATGTGGTGGGGGAAACTACTTTTGCTGTTTAAGATACCACAAGGATGAATTAATTAAAAAATAGAAAAATGTCATTTTTTTATTTTTCTTTTCAATAAACATAAATAAAGAAAGCAAATTCTTTATAGGTGGAGCCTGGAGGAGCATAAACTGCTCTGTCTGAGTTTGCCAAATTCTTCCAGAAAAACCTTTTCATTTCTCCCCACTCTCTTTCTTCTCTCTGTTTCTCACTCATAAAAGGAGCATCTTTTTATTCTGCTTTCATGTGCAAAGCCCATAAATTTTTGGTTACAGGGTTCTTTTCTTTTTTCTTACAAGGATAACTCTGTGGGGATCCTCTGGATTTTGGTGGTAATATGTTGATCTGCGTTAATTTTGTTAACTTGCTTTAATTCCTTTTGCTGCCTGCATATTTTTGTAGGTTTTTTGTTGTTTAGTGTGATGCTGTTTGGGGGTTATGTGATTCTTGTGGTTCCTTACAGAGGTGTCTGGTGTGTGAATTTATGTTGTAAATGAACTTTTTATGGCGTTTGTGTGTCTGTAAAATTCATGGCAGCTTGCTAAATTTTGCTGTGTTTTTAACTTTTTATTGATGGGATTATGTTTTTCCCTCTTTTATCTTCCTTTGCGAGGATCATTTGTTCGTTGAGGGCCATTTATGAAAGTTGAAATTGAGAAAATGCAACCTAAATGTCAATTTTTATTCTTTTGCAGGAAATTTATTTTGCAAAACTTTCTTAGGGTAGGAGTTGAGATGTGAATCAAGACTTTGAAGATGAAAAAAACAGTCTTTACACATACACACACAGACATAAATCACACACTCACACACACACATTGGTGTGTGTGAGTGTGTGATTTGACGGCTAAAATCCCCTGTGGGAATCAAATCTACCTTATGATCGAGTGGAATTAGAATCTTTGTGTTTTTATTTTCCTCTTTTGGTACTCATCTTGATTGAGCTTATTCATCTACCATTAACGTGTTTCCCTTTGTATACTCATTGATAATGTTGTCTAAGTTTGGCTATAATTTCACCAAGAGGGTGTTATCTGTTTGCCTGTAAATAAACTAGAGTCTGAAAGAGAAACATATTTATCAATAGAAAGTTAGCATTTTGGGTAAAAACTAAAAATATCGTGTTCAGCGTAAAAAGTATCCGACTTGAACATCTATAGCTGCATTATAATGTTTCTTCTGAAGACACAAATAATAGCATTTTTGGATAGATACCCTTAACTTGTTAACTTCCCTTGGATTTCTATTTTTGTACTTTCATGGTATATCAATTGCACATACTGATAAAGATATATAGTTTCCTCTTATGGTTATATTACATAAACGACCTCCGAGGTTTATTTTTAGTTACAGAACAATCTAGTTATCTTTCGAAATTACAAACTCTATCATATTTCTCGTTTTCTCTTTCACAAATTTGGCTCTCAATTTGCAATACCATACAAGATCATGAAATTTGGAAGGTAACTCGATTTTGCCTTGATATACCTGTGTATACATTCATTCAGCTGTCAATTAAATTTAATTTATGCTTGTTATAGCAGGACTATAGATACAAAAGTCAAACGTTTTTAAACACGGTCGATGAATGTAAAGAAATGCAGCTATACCACCACTTGTTCTCGTTAGACAGCCAGAAGGTAAGGCTTGCATTGGAAGAAAAAAACATCGACTACACATCTTTCCACGTAAACCCCATCACAGGCAAGAATTTCGACATCAGTTTCTTCCGGAAGAATCCGAGTGGCAAGCTCCCGGTTTTCCAGAATGGCTCCCACATTTTATACGACACGATAGAAATCATCCAGTATATGCTCGTTTTTCAAAATTTTTTCCTCTTATACTGTTTACTATTTCTGCTATGCTTGGTAAAACTAGCTGATAGCTTATCAGTAATTTCGGAACTTATAGCTTAGAGCTTATGACTTATAGCTGAAAAGCTAGCTTATATGATAGAAGTGTTTGGTAAAATTAGCTGATAAGCTAGCTGAAATAAAAATTTCAACGAGCTTATTTGAAAAGCTACCCAAAGAAGCTTATGAGATAAGCTCGAACGTTTTAAAAAAGGTCGTCCTACCAAACGAAGCTTATTTAAATAACAAACAGGAAGCTTATAAGCTAACCAAATAAGCTATAAGCTAGTTTATTTATCTACCAAACATAGCCTTCATTGAGTTGCGTTTTCTTTTTCTTTTTTCGAAAATTTACAGGTACATAGATAGAATAGCGATGGTCTCGTCGGGTTTTAACGGGCCCACACTCGACTCACCCGAGACCACGAATTGGATTCAAAAAATCCAACAATGGAACTCGGAATACTTTACACTCTCACACCTCCCGGCAAAATACCGCCTCTCGGCTTCGAAATTCCTCAGGCGAGTAATAATCGCGCGAATGGCTGAGTGCCCGGAGCTTGCGAGTGCTTACCATGAAAGACTGAAAGAGGCTTACGAGACGGAGGAGAAACTCAAGGACTCGGAAATTTTAACGAGAAGTCGAGTGCAGCTCGAGAGGATACTTGACGAGGCGGAGGTTCAGCTGAAAGAGAAGAAGTATTTGGTTGGGGAGAGTTTTACGCTGGCGGATGTTGTGTTTGTGCCTGTTTTGAGCCGGCTGGCGGTTTTGGAGTTGGAGGAGAAGTATATAGAGACGAGGCCGAACGTGGCTGAGTATTGGGGTTTGGTTCGGGAGAGGCCGAGTTATGGGAAAGTGATTGGAAAGTATTTTGATGGGTGGAGGAGGCACAAGACTCTGTTCAAGACATGGTGTTTTGTGAAGATGAGGAGTTTATTGAAACAGTATTAGTGGTGTTTTTGTGGGGTTCAGTGTACATGGAGTTTTGAGTGTGTGTGTGTGTTGAGTTTTGTTGGGACACTATTGCTGAAAAAAGTGTGGAGTTTTACCAATTGTTAGGGAATATTGGCTATAATGTAAGCAAGATGTACTGTGTATGTGATTTGATTGTGGACAAAAAAAATTGTTTTTTTTTTTTGTCAAACGATTATATTAAAAAGTAGAAAAGATTACACCGGTAATGACACAACTAGTGTATACCCCGTGCGATGCACGGAAACAATATTAAATTAATAATATTATAAATAGAACTCGAGTTTGAGTCGCTCAATGACCGAAGTGGAAACTATTATTGATCCTATTTAAAAAGAGGAAGCAAAAAAAAATAATTATAAATTAAAGATTCAGGGTCAAACAATGTAAAATTATTTTGTATAAGATAATATAAAAAAATTTGATTACACACCATTTCAAAATTATTATTACACTTTTTTGTATGGTTAGCTTATAATATTTGTAAAAATATTAGTAATTAGACCGATAAAAATTAGCTTCTTAAAGTAGATAATGGATTTTCAGTAGTAATTATGAATTGGTTTCTATTTTATTTTATTTTTTTCTTTTAAAGATAATGGATTTCTAGTAGTAATTATGAATTGGTTTCTATTTTATTTTATTTTTTTAAATCTGTATAGATAAGGGATGAAATTTTTTAAACACGGGAGACGTATGCAATGGGATTTTGTAACAGAAGAGATAAGCGTGTAGATTTATACTAAAAATAGAAAAAAGAAAAACAAATATTTATTGTCAAACAACGATTTTGATAAACTAAAAAAAAATGAGCCGATTTTTTTGCCTATTTAGATTTGTCCAACAATTACTATATTAGGATATATTTAATGATTTTGGCGGGAAAAAGTTTCTAAATTTATAAAAAGGTTATTCTTTTTATATAATGATAGATTAGAGCCAGAAACAAAGGTTGGATCAACTCAATCAAGATGGAACGAACACATGCAAACAAAAAGAACTCCATAAAGAAATCAATAAAAGTCCATAAAAGAGATTAAAAGGCAGACACAGCTGGACTGCAACGAAAATTAGAAGAAAAACACAAAAAACTACCACGCACCCCTGTGTAATACACTAACTCTCCATTGAAAATTGAGGGACAAGTGGGTTTCTTTTGTCCAGTCGCGATCTGGTAAATGTTGATTGATGAGCTCTTGTATTGCGTCAAAAGGCTTCCGTTGAGTTCGAGGCTTTTATGCTCATGATGTTGTCCGACGTTAGCCCCTTCTCTCGGTAAATATATACAATCTTTATCTGCAAATTTTACTCATTTGTCGAATCCATTAACAAGTACTCGGGCTCATTTGCAAATTACTGCAAATGTGGCTTGGATTTGGCATAATTTTTCTGGTTTGGTGTTAAATTCGGTTCTGTTGAGATTATTCTACGTGCATTGTAGATTTGTTGGGTTGGGGTCAGGGGCGGAGCCACCCTCCAGCCCCATGTCCCAAAAAAAAAAAAAAGTTTTGCTAATCTTATTTTATAAAATTTTTTATACATAAGTCTGATTAGTCTCATGTAATTTTTTATGTAGCCCATTTGATTTCGGACTGGATGCCTCAAAATTCAGGTCGAAAATTTTTATATGACAACAATGGAAGAAAAATGATGATTGCAGTGAGAGGAAAAGTATTGTCAGATGACAATTGTGTCCAACACACTCTTGTCTTTTAATTTTTGTAAAGGGTTGACTTGACAAGTACCAAATGAGCTGGATAATTAAGCTCGACACACACTTTTGTTGCGGGCTATTTAATTGTATTCGTCTCATTGCATAGTCCGTTATCCATTTTCATCTATTATTTTCTTTGTTGATTTCGCCTCCAATAATTAATTCGGCCTCAATTCCTTGACAAAGAAAAATCTCTTATAGAGTTGAGTGCAAACATGCTCGACTCTATTTGTTTGATGGCCAAGTTCGATTAGCTATCTAGGTTTGGTTTGTTTAAATATATAAGCGAGTCGAGATTGAGTTATTTTGCAATTCAAACCGACATATGTTATCAGATAATTTTGGTTCTAGTCATGATCTCCAAAACCGGTTACAGATCGAAATCGCCTATTCCGGGCCAAGAGTTGGGGGACCCTGAACCGGCGCGGACATATGCACGGGCCGGTTCATTAAATTGTCGGTTCTTGGTCGTCTGGTTAATTAAAAAAAATAAAAAATAACTAAAAAATGATATTTTTTTGAAAAAGCCGAACCTCAGGTTCCGATTTCAGTTCGGAACCGAAACAACCGGTTCAAAATGTATAAACTATAAAGTATTGTCATGAATCGAACTGGTCAAAACCACGGGCCGGTTCAAGACTCATGGCCAATGAGCCGGTTTGTGTCAGTTCGGCCCGAACCGACAGGATGGGTCGGCCCATGACCATGTCTACTCGGTTCCAATAATAGCTACAATAATATGCAGCCCGGGGTCAAAAAAATTTCTGGTGGTGTGGTTCGAGAGGATTAAGATGAAATCAAAGTTAAAATGGGCGGCGCTTGGCGTGCTCGTGCTATCGTTTGCTTCGATAATGGTGCATTTGTTCCTGGCTAAGTCGAGCACGAGGTTTGCGGTGTGGGTACAGCTTCCATCGACCCCGAGGATTTGAATCCTGTTGAAAATTCTGGTAGAAAGGTAGAGGAAGACTTTTTTCAGTTGCATGTTTGAGATGATAAAGCTCTTTATTTAAATGCGATTATTTTATATTATTGTTGATGCGTGTACAACTTTTCATTACTGGTGGTGAAGGGTGTTGGATATAGGAGATTGTGGGGGAAGGTAAACAGTTTGGAGCCACTGCAGCCATATGCAAACCCGAGAAGTGTACCGTATCCTGGTAATATGGCTGATTTATTGCTATTGGGATTTGAGATTTGTTAGTTTACGGTTGAATCTAGTGGTCTCATTGTGAATAGATGTTGCTTGAGTTCGCCGTTTGTGGCATACATAAGCTAATTCTATGAGTTTCCTGTTGCATGTTATATTGAACATTGGCTTCACTTATATTGGAGTTCACACAGTCAGTGAGGCTAAATTAGTAAATTTGTGTTTGTTATGTGGATAAATCATGCATATACTCTAGTGTTGATATATACCAACCCAAAAGCAAAAGCCACATACATATGCAGGCGAAATCTGTAACTGTGACTCAACTCTAAAACTGGTTGAGATAAAGTGCAACAGAATCCATAAACACAGCTTAATTTTTAACATGCATGTGCTGTTGTAGTAAGGTGTGCCTTTTGTTGTTTCACGTCTTGTGGGCCTCGTGGTCTTTATTTTGCATTGTTACTTGCTAGATTTACTTCCAATGTTTGAAAAGATTTTGCCTTCACTTTTTCTTTTTTGTCAGCTTAATCAATATAAGACGGGAAGTAGATAAATTGTTTACTTGTACTTTATAAAAGCTGACCTTTCTTCTGGTAAATGTGAGCATCTTGACTTATGTAACTTTGGATATACAAGACAAAGTCATCAATTCATACGTTTTCTTTACTTGAAATATTATGTAGAAGGGGACTTGAATTGTTACTTGGATGATCTCTCTGTTTGATGAACGCTATCTGTCAATTTTTCCGTCCTTGTCTACCGTTTGAAACTTACCAAGCTCTTAAATGCAGTTCCAAACGAGCAGAACAATGGTTTCATTTACGCGAAAATTCACGGTGGCTTTGAGAAGATTAGGACCTCGGTATTATTATTTTTCCTGAATTTTTCCCCTTTCTTTCTGCATATGAAGTTTCTAATGGCATTTAAATTTGCTAGATCTGCGATCTTATTGCAGTTTCAAGGCTTCCCAATGCTACCCTTGTTATACCTGAGATTCAAGAAAGCACTCAATCAAAAGGCATCAGGTTTTTGTTTAGTTGTCCAAGGACATGTTACAACCCATTGGCATTTCTAAGATATACTGAAATTTCATTACACATTTTGATTTGCAGCTCAAAGTTCAAGAGCTTTTCATATTTATATGATGAGGAGAAGTTTATAAAAGCTCTAGCAAGTGATGTGATCATTCTGAAGAGCCTACCGTCAAGCTTGAAGGAGGGCAGGAAAAGGAAACAATATCCAATCTTCAAACCTAAAAGTTCATCTACCCCGAAATACTATTTATATGAAGTTCTACCAAAACTTAAAATTGCTAAGGTCATTGGGTTAGTACTTGGCGATGGCGGATGCTTACAGGTACAAATAGTTCTTCATAGCAATTCTTGCCCAAGTCTTGCTTTGATAATGCATACCAGTCCATAATTTTTGAGGAATCTTTTGCATGTTTTAGTGACTGATTAATAATTTCAACCTTGGTTCTATTGCAAGTTAGAGAACTTCAGAAGTTCCAGCACAAAAACCAGCTTTGATGCGTATTCTTTTTATTTTTTTTCCCAGTCCATCCTTCCTTCAAGCTTGGTTGAGTACCAGAGGCTCAGGTGCCGAGTGCATTTCCGTGCAGAGATTGTTGACCTTGCACATCGAATTGTAGAAAAGTGAGTAAGCCCTGATGGTTGCCTTTGGTATTTGTTTCTCACAGTTAGTTTGATCTTTGATGGGTTTTGAGCCTTTTCCGACATTTTTATATTTGTTCTCCTTGTATGCCTGCCCACATCATTTTAACATATTCGAAAGACCATGCATAATATTTGTATTGCCTTTCCTGTCAGAATAATAGGAACCGTAGCATGAATTATCTTCTGCATTGTTAACTTTTGGAAATTTTCCTAGATTTTCAGGTTATTTCTACCAAGCCAAGAAACTACTTTATTCTGAGGTTACGTTCCAACAGTTTATAATGATTCTATAGGCTACGAGGTTCTGGTCAACCATATCTTGCTTACCATCCAGGGTTGAAGAGGGATACTCTAGCATATCATGGCTGTGCTGAACTTTTTCAGGTAAATACTACAGTTAAATAGTGGCTTTGGGTAATACCCATTGCTTCTCTTCGTTGATGTCCATTTCTGTTTACATCAGTCAAAGACAATGGTTTTGCTAAGTTTTTTACTTTTATATTTTTTTTTTCTTTTCTTTTTTTATGCTAACTCCCTATGCTTAATCCTTTCTTGTTAAATACAAACTTTAGTTGGGAGTTTTACGTCTTTCTTTAGTCTTTACAATTCCTTTGTGTCTGTATGGTATATGTATATCCTCTCATATATCATGTTATGGTTAATCCCCCGAGCTCAGACTTTTTCTCATATCTGAAATTCGATTTTGCATATCCTTTAATTACCTTTGTCCACGAAGTAACTAAAATTTTCATCTGAAAAAGAGCCCAATTAACTATGAGTGGCGTTAAACGTAAAATATAAAGCAGTTTGTAAATTGAATATTACGGTTGCTTTTGTATTATTGACAACTGCAGGTTGGTCTTCTCCTTCGAGCTATGGGTTACCCTCCTAGAACAAGAATTTACTTGGCTGGTTCCGAAACTTTTGGTGGCCAACGAGTTTTCATTCCATTACGGTCCATGTACACCAACTCAGTGGATTGTACTTAATTGTGCTGTAAACTGGACCTGGCTCACATCATCGGCCCAGAAGCCCAGCTTCCTTCACATACCTTTGAATTCCCTCTTACAAAGAGCGCTAAAGAGCTGAGGCCCTCGTCCTAGGCCTCTTCCTCCACCACCCGAGCGACCTATTTATAGGCATGAAAAGGAAGGCTGGTATGGGTGGATTGGAGAAAAAGGGTCCGAACCAGATCCTACACCGAAGAATCCAAGGGATCAGGCTCATCGTTTGCTGTCGGATGCGCTCGATTATATTGTTTCTGTTGAAGCTGATGCCTTTTTTCCTGGTCTTGATAATGATGGTAGTGGGTTGCCGGATTTTTCCAGCTTGGTGATGGGGCACAGGCTTTTTAAAACGGCCTCAAGTAGAACATATAGACCTGACAAGTAAAACTGTTTAAGCAATCTCCCGTTTTTTCGTTTGCTACCTGAAATATTTGAATCTGTATGACTTTTTGTAATGATCAGCGGTGAGTTTTGGAGATTTGGGATTGGTGAAGAGAAGAATCACTCTGTAATTATGATAATTGGTGTTGTGATTTTCTTTTCTGTTCCAATATAACAGGATGTGATAAAAATGGAAACATCGAGAATGAGTCCGTTCTTTTATTTAAGAAATCAGGAGCAGTCACATATTTAGAGCGACTAAATAGTGTCTCAATGCTCTGTGATTCACTTTGTCGTTTTTAGTTGTTACTTACAATTGTGGAGATAAGGTTTTGTTTATTCTCCCTGATATTTTTTCCTCCCTCAGTAATTTATGCATCGTCTTTCACTTTTTTTGCAGAAGATATATTACGAAACTGATCAACACGACAAGTAACCATCTTTACCACCCCCCACGCAACTGGACCCTTACAGCGAGAGAACACCTCAACAAAAGCTTATCGGAAGATGGTATTCTCCAAGAATCCAAGAGGGCAAAGCCTAAGTCATTCCTTTCCCACCGGTTACCCGAGTGCTCGTGTTCTACAGTAAAAAATGCCGATTTCCAAAAGGGTACCAAACTCCAAACTCTTTACTCGGTACAGGAAAGCTGCCATTCAGGGTTAGAACAAAATCCAACTACTGTCATCTCACAAGAGAGCACTGGTGATGATAACGAAACAGAAGAAGATGAAAATGATACAGATGTGCAGGAACCGGATGATAATAGTCAAGTCAATACAGTCCCATCTGTTGAAGAAGATGAGGAAATGGACCCGGGTGATTAAAGATCATTGTGTGCACGTCTTTTCAGGAGGTGCATTTGAAGATTTTTATTTATTTATTTATTTATTTATTTTTTTGGTAGGGGAGGGGATTTTGGGGGGGTCATACAGGTTTTGTTGACATAGTATTTAGGTAAATACAACTTACAAGGATGTGCCGGCTCGCTTGTGTTCTTAGTTCTTACGAGTAGGGAGAAAAGTTGTCTATTGTTTGTTCTTTCTGTACTTTTTTTCTTTTTCTTTTGGGTAAAGTTACTATTAGAACATTTTTGTTACTTTCGGAGGTATAAAGATAGGAATCTTCACATATAGAATCTGCATACAGAAATCCACACACATGTATTGTTGACGCGCTATTGGAGATTTTAAGTTGAATTTACGATTCTCGTGAGTTTGTTCCTATTGCAAAAAACTGCACGTAACTTGGGAGAGTTTGCTATTGACTATAAAAGCTAGTGGACTAGACTCCCCGAACATGAGGTCTGTTCATCTTTATCCCCTTTACTATAGCTATTTGCCTGGTGCCATCTTTTGCTACCAGAATGACTGAATTCATGAAATTTGGACATCATATTGTACATCATATTTACTCCAAGAAAAGTACGTCCGGAATGTGTAGGATTTCTTAGCTGCATTCAGTAGTTCAGCAATACTCCATGTGGAACGAAAAACCCATATGCAGACCCATATATTGAAAATAAACCACAATGTAGATTTAACCGAATATGAAAGATGGCTAGAATGAAGGCCCTATTTATTAACCTCATAAAATCACTGACAGCAAAACATCAGTACACAGAAGCTAGAACTCATTTGTCTTAAATCCTTAAAGAGTGATGAACATGTGAAAATGCATAATACATGAACCCATGCACCACCTGCAGGTGCACCGTTTTTCAAGACAAAAAATTCACACGATAGAAGTTCTACAGCAAAACGATAACAAAACTTCGAAAAAAAAAAGGATCAGAACTTATCCTCACTAAGTTACGCAGGAGTTGGTTCTTCAGCACTTGCTTCTTCCTGTAACTCCTTGGTGGCAACAATAAGAGCCCTTGTCCTTCCGTTTAGAATCACCCCATTCGACCTCATCTCCTCCTCCAATTTCTCAGCAGTTTCCCAATCCAAAGCCTTAAAGCAAAGAGACTTAATCAGCTTATTGTACTCATCATGATTAGGGTTCACCCCGTGCGCCCTCATCTCCCTCAACAAACCCACTGCCTTGTCAAATTGCTCGAGCTTGCAAAACCCACGAATTAAAATGTGGTACACGATTGGGGTCAATTTTGAGTGGTTCTTCTTGGCCTCATCAAAAATCTTGCACGCCTGCTCCATTTCACCATTTTTCGCAAAACCACTCAGAATTGCACTGTAAGTGTACAAATCGGGCTTCAACCCCCTTTTCTCCATCAGCCTCATCATATTCAGGGCCCCATCAGTACTATCCTCAGATTTGGCGAGCCCGCTAATCACACAATTGAACACAGTATTTCCAGGAGGCGGGCCCGAGTCAACCATCTCAAGGAGCAGCTTTTTGGCCCGGCCCACATCTTGAATCCAACATAGCTTCTGAATGACACTCGTGAAGGGCTTAGTTGCACGTTTGCGAATTTCGGCCGAGTAATCGCCCAACATCTCTAGAGCCAATGAGACAGTTTCTCGGTCGAGTTCAGCATCGATTTTCTTCCCGGCCCGCTTACTGGCCGTCACTATTCGAGATAGAGAGATAATTAAGAAGTCAATGGATGACTGAGGCAGATGGATTTTCTTATCCTTGGCATACACATAAACCAAATGGGCATCTTTTGCCATGTCTCCTTTGCAGAAAAAGGAAATTATCTTCCCAACTCTCTCGGGATCTGGCAGCATATCCGCATTCAGCATCTTATCACAGACCAAGCTCGCCCAGTTGTACAAGGATCTCTTGCAAAGGGCTTCGAGAGTTAAATAGTATGTATCGGCATTTAAGGGGCACCCAAACTCCTCAAACTTATTGAACAAGTCAAACGCCGCCTTCCCTTTCCCCAGCCTCGAAAATGCCGCAAGCAATGCATTTAAGCTCTCAGTATTCACGATACCCTTCCCGTTCTTCTCCCCAATCTCCTTCAGCAAATCCCATAAATCGTATGCTTCTCTTTTCCTGACATCAGTGTCAGTGCACACTGCAATAACAAGTGCATCTAGAACCACTGGATTCAGCTTAAACTCCTGTTCATTCAAAACCCACTTGAAAAAAGTGATTAAATTCTCCCCAGGAACAAACGGGGTTTGGAGAACCTTCAACACTAATTCTTGATCCAAAGCTAACTCCATCTCTTCCATACGAGATTCTAGGGACCCATCAACAGTACCACGGCTCTGAAGCAAAGACAACAAATTCTCCACCTTTTCAGGATCATTATCCCGTACTTGCCCTGTGCTCTCATCCCCTGCATCCAAATTTCCATCTACAGCAACTGAGCCTTCGAGATTTTCACTAGAGACCTGATCCATTTCAATATTACCTGCAGCACCGTCTAAGATGGAACCTTCGTTTCCAAATTTAAGCTTTGAAATTTCGTCGAACGCATCAGGTGCGCCGAAATCAAAACCACCAGAGACTTCATCAGCAAATGGCTCGGTGGGTGGGTCATCGTGATCCTGAGCTGAGGTCGTGAACAATCTAGGGTTTATATGGAAATGGGACGATCTCGAGAAAAACGAGAAACGAGATGCAGATTCGAGAAATTTTGGTGGTAAGGTTGCTCTTTCTTTGTGTGGTGAACGAGGACGATGGATGGCAGGGCGCATTCCCGGCGCCGCCGCCCGCCGGTAGAGCGAAGCTCGTCTCGCTAATGGCCTCCACATTTTCTCTTTAACACACTACACAAATAGGAAAGAGAAAAACCCATATCAGTGTGTGTGGGGAGGGTTTATAAAATTACTTATTAATTAGGGATGACCGGTTTGAATGCGAAAAAACAAACAAAAAGTAACTGCACCGTAAAAAAAATTAGAACTGAATAAAAATAGTTGGGGTAAGGAGAAGGGGAAAATTTCACTGTACTCACTGTACTATAATTCAACCTCACTCTACACCTCAAGATTTTAAATTATTTCACTTTAACCCCACATTCTAATCTAATTTCACACTGTTCCCGCTACTCCTCCTAATTTACCATTGCACATCTCTCGTCTCGAAATGGAAAAAGGAAGAAGAAAATCGAAATCCCCTCTCCACCTGCAAACCTTCTAAATATCTGACTTTCGTACCCTACAAACTTTTCGAAGCGAAGTGAAGTATACGAATTCTTCTTCTTATTTCTCTACACCATCATATCCTTCTGTTCTTCCTTCTTCTTTGTCACATTCAAGAATTCGTAAACTATGCAAAGGCTATTTGAAGAATCAAAAGCAATAAAAGCAAAAAAAATGCTCAATCCCCTAACCTTTTTTTTTTTTCGATTCGTTAACAGAACACTGAATTTATAGTAGATAGCGGAGGAGCTGGAGGGCCCCAACTGATTCCCGGGCCAAAACCCACCTCTTCATTTGAATCCTCCGGCCATCGTCTCCGGTTCACAGTGGAGCTCCGTCCCGGAGAAACTACCATTGTTTCGTGGAAAAAGCTTCTCAAAGAGGCTTCTTCCAGCAAACGCAATGGACTTAGCGCATCAGCTTCGTGCCCGTTGTCGGAAGTCCATCGGCAGAAGGTTTCCCATCCCCCGCCGCCGCCGCCACCTGCGGTGGCGTCTTCGAAGCAGCTGGTGGACAATGAAGTTGAAGAGTCACAAGCTCAGGCCGGACCAAACTGTTTGAGCAATGTAATTGATAAAATCGAGCGAATGTATGCTGTATGATTATCGATCGATTGGCTATGCTGGCGCTAGTTTATAAATTTTTGTCCTTTTATTCTTGAAAAGATCGATTTTTTAGTTTATCAATTTTTGTCCTTTTATTCTTAAAAAATACAAATTTGTTCGATACTAATGTTTGGTGAGTTTGTGGTTCTGGAAGGATCAACAGTATTTGATTTTGGAGCTGGAGTTGGGTAATACCTAGTTTTAGTCATAAAAATTCATGCATTATTTAATCCTTTCTGATAATGTTTTAAATGCTCATTCTTTGTTCACCAGGAGATTTTTGTTCTTCTCTTGTAACATTATTAATGTGGTTTATTCTAACATAATTGAGATGAAATGTTATTTATGCATACACTTATTATGTGATAGTTACATGGTAATGGTTATCTGTCCACTCTCCTTATTTTGTTGGTATTGTATGTGGAACTTGTAGGGTAATGGCAGTAGTGAAGAGGAGGATGTTTTTCTAGACGATGTGCCTGATGACGATGAATATGATACAGATGATTCATTCATCGATGATGTGGAATTGGTGGGCTGTCCTCTTCGATTATTTGCATTGAACTTTGCAACTCAATTAGTCTATTTCCCTTTTGTTATAGGTGATAATTTCAAATTAGTTACTGATTAACTCTGAAATCTGTGCAGGATGATTATTTCCAGGTTGATAACTCGGCCGTAAAGCATGGTGGCTTTTTCGTGAATCGCGGAAAGTTGGAGCGCATGTGAGTTTCATTTTCCAAATCCTCCAGTTACTTTCTGTTCTTTCTTGCCTTTTTATTTTCTTTTATTATTTTCCTCCTCCAGTTATTTTTTCTTCATAATGGTAATTTACTTTTCTTGCAGCGAACCTGCCACAACAACAAACCAGCAGCCAAAGAAAAGGAGACTAAAGACTCAACCAAAGGTCAAAGTGGGAATACAGATGTACGAAATCCAAACAAACAAGTGAAAATAGGGAATAAAAGTAGAAAATCGACTGAAAGAAACTCCACTAGTCCGTCAGACAGAGTGATTGTTAACCAGCAGAGAACTCGAATTCTCACGTCACAGGACCATAATAGTAAATTGAGAATGAGTTGCAAACTTCAAGAGACTTCAGTTCAGATGCTAAATGATAAACAATTTACATGTAAGCGAATCTCAATCTGGGAAAGAACTAAATAATGCTGATGAGCTGGATCGAACTCTTCAACGGAAAGAGAAAGGTGAAATTGTTGGAAGATTTGACCTTAATGTCCCTCCGAGCGCTAGCATTAGCAGTGAACCACAAATTACGGTGAGAAATTCTTTTGTGTACCTTTGCAATCGTTATTCTTTGAGTGACTTAACTTACTCAGTATGTTTGGCACAGTGTTATGATTTATCTTCCTTTAAAGAACTAACGCATGTAAAATTCATTACTAGCATAATGCTTTTACCTCTGCTGCCCGTCTTAGCTGTTAATTTTTACCTCAAATTGTATTCATTTTAGCAGAATATTTCCTTTTTGCCTTTTCCTATACATTTGTCCTTACTGTTCTTGATAAAGTTGTCATACTTTATTTTCAGAAGGTTCCTGTCAAGCCAGGCTTGAAAAGAAGTATCTAACGTTCGATTAAGAATCTCAATGCTCGAGAAGGCCATCCGGGAGTTGGAAAAAATAGTTGCAGAATGTATTACACTAACTCTAATATTGTTATTGTTTTCTTTCCTTTATTCCACATTTCGTGCAATGATTATTTACTTTAATATAAATCTGAAACCAACAGCTAGACCACCTTCGACAGAGGTCCTGGATCTTGATAATTCTTCAGACAGTAAAAAGAAGATTGCCGCAAGAGATAAAGCAGAAACTGGCTAAAAGTTGCTAGATTGGCGGTATTTAGGAGCTTATAAAATCCTAATTGTTCATATCTGTCTGCCAAGCCTTCACTTAACGAATCCAATAGGTTTGTGCTTCCATTAGGCTGCATCTTTTTTGTGGGAATTAAATTTCTGTTTGCCTGGATGGCTGCAGCAAGCCAGCTATGGAAAAGTACCAATGGATGTGATCAATTGTCTGATGAGTATTGTTGGCCACTTAATGCAGCTTAGGACACTGAAGGTATTTCCACATTAATATCATACCTGACACTTTTAATTTAAAACTTAACTTTTTCGATGAAAATATGTTTTCCACATTAAATTTTTGTGTGGTGTGCCAAAATGTCATGATTATGTATTTGATGCTACTTTTATAACATGGGATTCATTTAATTCTTGCTAATCCAGTTAGTTTTCTCTCAGAGAAACCTTAAGATCATGGCTAATCTGGGATTGTCTGCTAAACAAGAGAAGGATGATCGGTTACAGAAGATAAAACAAGAAGTTGCAGATATGGTTAAGCCGCGGATTTGATATATGAAATCCAAGGTATGCCTTCTGTTCACTAATTTTAGTTCCAGTAGCTGTGCCTATATTTTTGGCAGACTTATTATGATTTTCGTTTTATTTCTGAATAAATTACAGTCTTGTCCTAAAAAATAGTTGTCACATTGGGATACATTTGATTCTTGTCAAAACCCCAAATCATAACCTCCACTTTCTGAAATATCAAGGATCAATGTCTTGAGTTCTATTTTATTACCTGATATCAAAATACTTTGCAGTTGGAATATCAAACTGCGAGTGTATATGATTTTCAGTGAGTTGGCCTAGAAGAGAAAGAAGCATTGAAACGAAAATACAGCATGGATGATGCTCTGGAAAATAAAATTTGTGACATTTATGACCTTTATGTTGAGGTGATACTTCAAAATTTTTCTATTTTTCGTGAGGAAGTTTTCACCTAATTGGGTGTTTGGACTGGTTTGTGTAATTTACTACATTTCAGAGGCTAGAAGAAGACTCGGGACTTTATGAAGATGTAATTAGCATACTATTGTCGTTATTATTTGCTCTGGATTAGATTGCATTGGATCGTAACCATCTCAAAAAAAATGAATAAAAGGTGTGTTCTAGAAAATTGACAGCTCATGTGGCTTATTAAATAAAATTGTCACTTAATTTAAGTATAATTTGATGTTTGCCTTTTCTTGATGCAGCTTGCATCAATGTGGCCCAGTAGAACCATGGACACTCATGGAATTAAACGTGCAATATATAAAACAAAAGATAGGACGAAGGCATTGTCTACCAGGAAAAGGTATGGGTGTCTTCCATTTATTGCCCTTGGATATATATATTCTCCTTTTTTGAGTGAGGACAAAATCGGACATGAAAGTTTTCTTTCATCCAGTCAAGTTGGTACCTAAAATCTGAAAGCTTGTGCTTAATGCTTTGTTTAAATCTACAAAAGTGGTACCACAATGCAACTTCTTATATTATTGGGATAAGAAGTGATGGGCGTTTTAACTTATTTATTATATGAACTAGTATACTAGTTGGTCGAAATTTGTGTATACCTTTTTACCGAATATCTTCATTATTTTTACGACCTGTATGCTGTTTTGCTCCTTGCTTCATATCTACGAGAAATTTATTCTCTTGCAGCTCTAGTAAGTGGAAAATACGCTTAACTATTCAAAGGATGTAAGCACTTCATATTATCCACATCAGTTGGATAGTCGGTTATTGATATCAGTAACAACTAGATTTCTGATTTTTTTATTTTTATTTTTTTGGTGAGGGGAAAGTATGATCTATGGATGGATGAATGAGATGGTTCAAGTCTTATGGTTGGATCTTGGCTTCGATATGAAGAGGTATAGAGATAATTAGGTTAAGAAAAAATATATATTACTTAATGTCTGAATTTGCTTGCTCTTGAGATGTGTGTACTTTGAGTCTCAGAATAAATTGATGCATCTTCTCTGNAGAAAAGGGTAAGGCATTATTATGTCTTGAGTACATATGTTCAACTGCAATGGCATTTCATTCGACTGTTATTACAATATTAATTCAAATTAATTTCTCTCCCAAGGTTTTGTGATATCAAATGTGTGGCTACTGTTATTTGCATGACACCCAATTGCTTTATTCAAAAGATGGTGATGACCAAATATTCTAAGGGTCAGTTTGGTTGGGATGATTGGGTATGATATCACACCATTTATTATTGTATACATGTGTTTATTATGTTTGGTTGAACTAGTGTTGGCCCTGAAAAATGAGCATGGCCCGGTCAACTATCATTGAATTTGTTTAATGCTATACTTCCCTGGTATTGGGATACCTTATCCATACACTCCCAAAATGTCCCAAAATTTTCTATTGTTTTTTCTTTCATCTGTTCATCTTCTTCTTGTTCTCTCCTCCTCCTCATCCTCCCTTCATCTTCTTCTTCTTCTACT